CGTTAAGTGCAATAACACTGTATTTACACTAACCAGTAATGCAGTCGCAACATTATTCAACCTAAATGGTATCTGTGAGGATGATATTGTTTACATGTTGAGCCTGTGTTACACCTCTCTTCTGTAAGGGGAAATGCCTTTGTAACTCATACGGTATTGCTCCTGTGTCTCCCTCCAGGACAGCTGGGAGATCGTGGAGGGGCTCCGTGGGGTTCCTGCCAGCATGCAGGAGCCCGACAGACAGGAGGGCTTCCTGCTCAAGAGGAGGAAGTGGCCCATGAAGGGGTGGCATAAGGTGAGCCCATCGGCAACCCTGTGAAAGCCCGAGACAGTGATTGCATTGTAACACGTCTTATTATACAACGCCCCCGCTGCTATTTTCGATGCAAAGGGTGTCAGATAGTGAGCCACAGCTGTGAGGTTGTCAGAGATGTGGGTTTAGGGTTAGGGTTAGGCAAATGGTTTTCTGAACACAGCAGACTTTAAATTCTTTAGTGTATTCATTGTTTGTAGCTGTGTTTTTTAAAATAAGGAAATTCACCAATCACGCTTTTCAAGAGCTTTTTAAAGATGACACCTATGATTGAAGCACACATTTAGTCAGTCCTGCCTAAATGTCTAAGTTCTGACCTGCTTTCTTTAAATACCTCCAGCTATTTCCACAGTTCCTCCTCTTCACCATTATTATGATGTCTTCTTTCCATTCTTTTTATTCCCCGCCGATTATACTGTAACCCTGACTCATCTTCCTCCCCCTCTTCTGTGTGTTCGTGCATACCTGGGAAGTTCTGCCTTGGATTGAAAAGACTCTCAAAGTGCTTTATCAGTGTGCAAGTGTTTACTGTAAAAACTCGAGATGGTCATTGTCCAAACTGCTGATCACTTCTTTAACTGCTGCTGCTCACGGTTATAGGTGCATAACAGTGTCTGCATAGCTTCTTTTATTAGTGTTTTTAACTATTGTGTAACCTAAGTAAGTAACATTTATTTATAAAGCGCTTTTCACAGACAAAGTCACAAAGTGCTTGACAAAACACTAAAACATCATAGGAATCATAAAATAAGAAATGACCACACAAGCCACGTGTTAAGAAGTGCTAAAATAAAAGCACACATGTTACCCAAAACCTAAGAGTTCAATAAACCTATAATTCAAGGTCGGGAACTGAAAACTCTGAATAAACATGTTTGATTTGTTTCCCAATTAGAGATACTTTGTGTTGGAGAAAGGCATCTTGAAGTATGCGAAGCGCGGACCTGATGTAAGTATTATCTTCAAGACTATATTCTTGCATTTCCACAAAACAAAGACACAAGATAACACATTATTACGTTTGCAGATGAAGAAGGGAAAGCTTCACGGCTGCATCGACGTCGGCCTCTCGGTCATGTCGATCAAAAAGAAAGCCATGTGCATCGACCTGGACACGGAGAATAACATCTATCACTTAAAGGTAAATCCAGAAACGATCAAAGTTATGGGGAATTCATTTTGAGTCCGAGATATACTCAAACGTCTCAGCGCCTACGTGCTGTGTCTCTTTTCAAAGACACTCAAGATATTGCTCCTAATTTGACTTTATGGCACCCAGGTGAAGTCTCCCGAGCTTTTTGAGGAGTGGGTGTCAAAGATGCGTCATCACCGGGTATTTCGGCAGAACGAGATTGCCATGTACCCCCATGAGAGGCACCTCTTCAACCCCCACGCCTCCTCCTCCCCCTCTCTCAGTGATTCCCTCAGAAAAGTAAGTGCAAATTCTAGAAAACATTGCTGCTCCCTTAGATTTCACACGGTACGGATGTTGTGTTGTGATGCTGGCAATGCCTCGTGCTCTCTCGTCTGTCTCTTTGAAACAGAGGGCTACTCTGACTAAGCAGGCGTCGGTCCACCAGGCTAAGGTCAGTTCTTGGCTCCACTCCTCAGAAGACATGAACAAATGCTCCAAAGGTTGGTTTATGTTTTGCTTTCTCTCTGCCCACTTACTTCACACATTCTCAGGTGGCTCCTTTTATTGTGTCTAACTAAGTCAAGGATGTCTCTTTATGAAATATTAAGCAACATCCACATTGTCAAAATCACCTAAATATCCAGCCATGACTCTGAAATTCTTTTAGAATACACTAGGCTACGCTTTGTGTACTCAAACACTACAAACTCTGACAACACCGGCCCTCCTCTCTCCGTCTCCCATTCACATCCCCACCATTGTCTTCCGGCAAAAGGGCACATGACACAATAACAAACCGACTGGATCACGCAAACACCTGTCAGCCTGTCGTTGGCAAAAACACTTTTAAGAGACGTTATGGGATGTAATCACTTGGGGTCATTCCACATTGAAGTTTAGCTCTCGCTAGTATTGAACCCATTTCAAGAATAATTGTCACTTAAACACAAAAACCTGTTCAAAAATACAGAAATGACCCTTTACAACAAGTCTCAGTTTGACTCGTTTGAAATGGTTTATTTGTATCTATGCATGTCCACAATCTTTCATCTAATAGTAACCTCTCTTCCCCTCAGACTTGGAGGAATGTGAATCATACATGCTGGAGCTCAATCTGCTGCTGAAGAGCATGGAGGTCCTCCACCGCACTTACTCCGCCCCCGCCATTAGTGCACTACAAGTAAGCCCAGGCACACACATTAAGTTAGTCATCATACCATGTTGAGGTGTTCTTTGTTTTAAAGGTGGAGTCCACTATCCTGGAGACAGATTGATATTTGAACTCAAATCCAAAACCAATACACCCCTCCCATCAGCACTCAGAACGTTAGCATGTGCCGGATTTACTGTCCCTCGCCGCTGCCTTTCTCTTGAAACATCATTTTTTCCCCCCGCTATCCTAACTGGAATAGCGTTTAGCAGCTCGGTCTGAGACACTTTGTTTGTATACTATTTACCGATCCGTGGCTGTGCATGAACAACGTAAGAATATACGGAACAGAAAGCTACTAGAGATATTTCACCACAAATGTATTTGATTAAAAACGCTGACTCTGAAGCTATTTGCAATAATATTCAATGAATATGCTTTAGCAAACTTTGTGGGTGTAACATAAACATTGCTCATGTTCCCAGTGAGTAAGAAGTCAAATAAGTATCTTGCTCATCAAGTAATGTAAGCCTGAAAGACAAAACATTTGTGTGTGATTAGGTCAAAACTGAAATAAATAGTGTTTGTTTTGCCCTAATGTCTGTTTCCTTTGGTCCCACAGGCGTCTAATTATGACATGCCCAAAAAAGAGAAGAGGCCAAGGAGATGGCGATCCAAAAACAATGGCAAAGAACCCAAAGCCACACTACAGGTACATCTCCAGATTTGAAGAAACCTTTTTTGAAATCATTCAACAGTGTGGATAAATTATGATTTGCATCAATTCACCTTTTCTCTGATTTTGTCCGCCAGGTCCCAAGCTGCATCTCCTCCCAATCCCCTCGTCTCCACGCCTCCAATCCCAATCTCTCCACCACGGAGGCAAACGCACCGGAGATCTGTCCCGAATCCCCGGACTCGCCTACAGATGGGTCCCGCCTTCAGGAGGACTTCTGCAGGCTGGCCAACAACAGTGAGTGCCTGCTGTGACGTCTGCTAGTCTGCTCAGAAGAGGCTTTTACATTAGATAGAAAAACATGCTTTTTTTTGCCTATATGGTAGGATAGTTTCCATGACAACTGTCCAACAGTTCCTCTGCCTGGCTCTTTCTTCTCTGCAGTCCACACCACACTGAAATCGGCCTTTGGTTCCCTGGTAGCGGAGAGAGACAGACTGAAGCACACCATCGACCTGCAGGCCCCACAGCCGGCGCAGGTCATCGGCCTGAAGACCAGCTTTGCCTCAGTGAGTGTGTTTTTCACAGTTACACCCCAAATGGCCAACACCAATCACTACAGGTACAGCTTCACTCAACATACTTCTTATTTTCACCAGGATTGTCCAGGAGGCTCCCACTCCTTAGTCCACCAGGTGTCCAATGAGAGCAGAGGGTCTATCCCAGAGTCCATATCGGAGTTCTTCGATGCTCAGGAGTACCTCCTCTCCTCTTCCTCCTCTGAGAATGAGGTGAGACACTAGCTACTACGTTATCCTTTATGCTTCAAGTCAAATTAATTGGTTTATTAAAAGACTTCTTGTTTTGTCCAGAAAAATTCAAAAACTGGGAAAAATGTCTTGTTTTGTTTGTTTATATTAATGTTTTAGAATATAGGAACAGAAAATAGCATTTTTTTTTCTTTTATAAATTACACTTTATCAATATTGTCCACTTTAATAGATAAGATTAACTATTTGTTTCGGCATTATTGATCAAATTAAAGTTTAAGGGTTAGTTGGCAGGAATAGCAGTGTGCAATCTGTGTTGCATCAGACCTGCTCAAATTAGCAACAAGTTTCAACACAACTTTTTTTCTATTTGAACCACTAATACCAGTTGGTCACAACAAACAGACTTTACACTGGGTGCACGTTTTCTTTCTTATTTAAATGACCACATTTTGACCTTCTGCATTGATTTTCTACCTCCAGGTGTCCGACGATGACTCGTACATCAGTGATATCAGTGACAGCGTCTCCATGGATACCTACAGCAACGAGGGAGGCAGTGAGAGACACAACTCTGGTACATTATGCAGTAACAAGGCGTGCATCTGCCCGTGTGTTAACGCCCTTAACAGAGGGAAAGACAGTGAGAGTGCAAAAAGACCTTAATCTTTCCAAAATAGGCAGAGCTTATGTGACTCAGCCTCTGTAGGTTTATTTCTCAAAGAGTGTTAGCATCAACTCAATTATGGATGTCTGGAATTGTAGAATTTGCTCACTTCCTCAGGGAATGTGTTGAACATGACCACTGCCATCTTGCAGACGTGTTAACAAACGTAGTTTACGATGCTGCCTTATGCTGTATGTGACAAAGCATCTGTGTACAGGCATCATTCATTCAGTGCTGCAGATGGTGCTAGTTTTTAGGTTTTCACTGCTGAAACCTTTGCCTTCAGGTAACAAAACTTAAATGTAATTGCATTGTTCAGTTGCAAATAGAAATATTGGTTTGAATGTGGTATAGAAAACAGAGAATGGGGTTAATGGAAATGAAATGACTGGTTGGTTTATCTCTACTGTATTCGTCTTTTATCAAGATGTGTTAGACTTTTTGTAAAGTTTGTGAAGTGATATGCCAGTATTATGAGTCATGTTGTAAAGGGACTGAAAAAACATTTGTGTGAATAGTTGTTTTTTTGAAAAATCCATTTTCTTCCTCAAAAATATTAAAAGAACACCCATTCAGGCAAACAGTTTTAGAGTATCTCCTAATACACCCACATGTCTCTGGTGGTCCTCAGAGCGGCATCTAGTGGGCTGCTAAGGTACTGAAAGAAACTAAGTTACATTTAAATCTTACATTTTTGTATCTAAATGTGCTCAAGAATTCACAGTTCAAACACAGTGTCAGAGGAATATTGATTCGTTTTTTTATCGAAAAAGAGAGGTTTAAATAAATCCTCATGTCACATCAATCAAATGTGTTTTGAAAGATTTTCCGCAACTAGCCTAGTTTTAGAAAATAGCACAATCAAGCATCTACGTCTCTCCCATTTCACCAGGTTTTTAATAACTATATCTAAATGATCGAACCAGTATGATCTCCACCTTTCTCCCCTGTAGTTAGCAGCGTGGTGACCCTGGCTCGCCGTCGCTCCGCGCTGCCGTCTACCAGCCCCACCAGCACCGTGAGCCTGTGGAACATCCTGAAGAACAACATCGGGAAGGACCTCTCCAAAGTGGCCATGCCAGTGCAGCTCAACGAGCCGCTCAACACCCTGCAGAGGCTGTGTGAGGAGCTGGAGTACAGCGAGCTGCTGGACACCGCCAACCAGACCCAGGACCCCTTCCAGCGCATGGTGAGGAGAAGAGAAACACCTGCAAGAGCTAGATAGAGCCATTTAAGCAATCCCTACATTAATGTACATGCATATTACATAACGCATGTAACAAATAGGTCCACTATAAGATTGGCACTACATTTTTTATTACAGCTATTTGCCATACAACAAGTGATCCGTTTTGTCACTTGATAAATTCATCCTGCAATATTAAAACATTTTCTACTTAAAGGTGGAAATGCAATAATTGAAAGGAAGTGGGAAAAAATATGAACATCAATGTAGCAAAATATAGATATAGAAATATGTTTCAAGGCTCCAGAGCTTTTTTTAAAACTACTCTAATGTCCGACTTCTGCTTTGTGAGCGCTTCTTTTCGCTTTTATCAATATTTTATTCTTACAAGCTAGAAGCCTTTTAATTATTTGTATCTTCCTGCGTCTGATTAGAAGGTTTTTTATTTATAGTATTTGACTCTCATTTGTAGTGAAATGTACATCAAGTGCTGCACATATACCACATAATACATCAAATAATTATTATTAACTATATATACACAAATACCTCTCACTAAAATCATGTATTAACACACACTCTAACACAGTTTGTGAGTGTGTTAAACGTCCTTACGGTATATGTCTATAGTCCCATGTAAACAAAGTTGGTGGTTTCACACTCATGCATGTTCACAACCTTATGTAGCAGATATGCCAATACTTTGAATACACGCGTAACAACTTTACTTCATCCCCACTGACTCTCTGTGCAGGTGTATATCGCAACATTTGCAATATCTGCATATGCCTCCACCTACCATCGAGCAGGAAGTAAACCCTTCAACCCCCTCCTGGGAGAGACGTACGAGTGTGACAGACCTGATAAAAACTACAGGTTTATAGCTGAGCAGGTGAGAGATCACGGGGTCTAAAACACACACATGACTCACTGTATGATGGGCTACTTTTCAGTTGATTTCACATACAGTAGTTTGAATGCAATCAACATTAAATGGAGGTCTTGTCCCCTCTTCCTGTTACTGTTCAAAACAATTCCCAAGACTTCTTTGCTTGACATAGTTTGCTACTAGATTTAGTGAGAAGTCCTGCACTGACTTGCCATTTGTCTCTTAGGTGATCTTGTGTGTTTCAAAGTCATCTCTTTTAATAAATGTAGCTATGGTTTATCATTGGGGAAAAGAACATTATAGGTTTCACTTCTCACACTTTTTGTGTTTGAATGATTCATGTAACAACTTCTGTTGTAGAGCGTTTGATAATATTCCTTTATCTCACCCTCTATGTCCTCTCTCTGTTTCCCAGGTGAGTCATCACCCGCCTGTGTCAGCATGTCACTCTGATTCAAGGAACTTCACCTTTTGGCAAGGTGAGCTGGAAAGAGCCTTTATGGAATGAAAATCTCATTTCTGTCTGGGCTTATACGTAGATTACACTGCCACCACACCCTTTTGCTTTTCAGCGAGATCTCTGCTGTAGGTTGTGGTCAAGTTTAACCAATATGCCTCACTAGGGACATTTTTTGGGTGCACATTTCTATCTTTGTTTGCCCTTTTAATTTATACGGCATACCATGGGTTGAGTTTTTTTATGGAACTTCAGCTCCTATGATATCCCTGTAATAAAGTGTGTAGCTAACATACAGACTCTTATGGAAGAAATATCCCCACTGAAACCCCTTAAGCCACATTCCTCCAACCTTACAGCATAAAACCATGCATTCTATTATTATTCAGGATTTTTAAGCCCTGGCTTTAATCTGTAATGTTTTCCACGAGCTTGAGCCACTTTCTCCCTGTTGCATATGATTAATTTTCTGGTTTGCTGCACATAAAAAAAGCATACAAATCAATGTTGTTGCTAATCATTGACATTTCCAAGACTGAAAGAAAATCCACCTAGCATTTAGTAAACAGACATTTCTGTATTTTTCTATTTTCTTTTAAAATAATGTAAACAAACTGTCTTTGAAAACGTTGAAGTTCTGAGACTGAATGAATATTTGGTAGTGATGATCAGGACTGAAGTTGGTTAAAAGATCTAGTAACATAAAGGGTTAAATAATATGAAAATGCAATGGGTTTTTTTGGGCAGTTTTTGAAGCAGACAACTTTCTTTCCTCACGTTGCCTTGGTGATTGCTGTTACTCTCCACTCCTGATGTGTATGATATCCATACAGTATAAGAAATTACTGTGCAGATTATAATGTGACCTTATCTTAAAACTCAAAATCAAACTATTCAGTTTACTTTTGCCGTGTTCGATTATGACAATATGGCAATGTTCATTGTCACTAGCACTTACCTTGTAATTCTTACGACCTGTTTCTTTTAGATGTTCGATGGAAAAATAAATTCTGGGGCAAATCCATGGAAATTGTTCCCATGGGGACCACACATGTCACACTACCTGCGTAAGTCCTTTAACCTTTAACTCATTGCGTGTTTGAAAGGTGTTTACATGAACATCATTGTAATTAGTTGCAGTATACGCTGTACAGCAAATGAGACGACCTGTATTGAGTCCAGTATGTGTTTGATTTCTCCAGGTTTGGGGACCACTATGAATGGAACAAAGTCACGTCCTGCATCCATAACATCCTGAGCGGCCAGCGCTGGATCGAACATTACGGAGAGATGTCCATCAAAAATATCAACAGTGACGCCTGTCAGTGTAAAGTCACATTCGTCAAGGTTAGGAAACACAGATGTTTAAATCACTGTTTTTATGTGCTTTTAGAGGAAAGGTAGTTGTTTTTGTGTCTTGTTCCTGTTCAGTGTAGTTCCATTGTAGGGACATGCTGTGCCTCATTGCACCCAACAAACTATTACTGTTGGTTCTCCCCTCTTAGTATGAGTCACATTCACATAAGTGTCAGTTATCATCCCAGGTGCATGGCTGTAAGCAACTTAAATCCTCCTTTTGAACACACATATATCTGCTCCTCTAAAACATTACTGCAGTGTTCTTCAAAGCAGCGCTGCCTAGTCAAAAATAGCTCCTCCATTAGCACTATCAAGGCAAACAAATGGCGCCCTCTGCTGTATAGGAATCCCAATTGAAGTAAAATGAGGCAGAATGGATCCAATCCTCTGTAACCATGACATAAAACCTACGGTATTAATCACATGGGTGTCACATGTCAGCTCTCATTTGGTGTAATATGTTTCTTTATGTAAAAAAATGCTAACAATTTCATTTTCTTTATCCAGGCAAGATCTTGGAGCTCCACAGTTAACGAGATAGAAGGCGTGATTACGGATTCAAATGGAAAAGTAGTTCACTCCATCTTTGGAAAATGGCACGAGTCAGTTTTTCAAGGAGACCCGCCTTCTGCCACGTGTATCTGGAGATCAAGTGAGTGATTGGTCCCTGAGAAAGTCAGATAAAATGTTTTAACATCAAGGCACTACAGGGGGAAAAAACTGAGTTTAACTGTACATTTGTGTTTGTGTGTAGACCCCATGCCAGTAGAGCAGGACCAGTACTACGGCTTCACCCAGTTTGCAGTGGAGTTAAATGAGCTGGACTCCAACCTGAGACCCCTGCTGCCCTCCACAGACACACGCTTCAGGCCGGACCAGAGGTTGGCATCTTTTTCCATCTGCAGTGTTTATACTATGATTTACTCAGTTATGGAAAGTAACTAAACACATTTACTCAAGAGCTGCTCTTAAGTACACATATACTCAAGTGCTCAAGCACACATTTCTCATGAAGCTAAAAACTTTGGAAAACCCAAGGTGTAAATGATAAAAGGCCGGCTGACTGTCACGCTGTCAAGGCGTACCAGGAACAGAGCTTTTTAGAGTGTTTCCACTGAAGGGACTTTCCCAAGATGATGAGAACCTTTTCCAGGAAATAAACCTGGAGCTGAATTTAGTTTCTTTAGGATCAATTACATTAAACATCAAAGTGTGACCGTAAACAGCAGGGTTACTAATATGTTGTTGTTTTTACATGTGAAAACATTTGAGCTTCAACGTACGAAAACACATGAGTTCCTCTGGTTCCATAGTTCCAGAAACGTTTTGGGCAGAAAAGTGCTATTGTTAATATTCTCAGTAACACCTGTTTGCTTTTCTTCCTATGAAGAGTTAAACTGTCTGGTACAGAAACGTTACGGCCTTTTTCACCTTCAAGTGTTAAGTGAGGACATGTAGTAACTATATTGACATAGGAACTGAAAGTCGACTGCAAAAAATACTAACCTAACCAGAGTCGCAAACAAAATGTTTCTGTTTGCTATCCGACTGCACAATGGCCACACAAGAAACGTAACAAAATGTCTCGGTTCTTAAACAAGTTTGGCTTAATGGAAGCTAAGGTGTTTTAAGGTTTCTGTCTTGAGTGTATCTTGCTGCACAATTTGGAAAACATAACTAAATGTGATTATTTGATTTTGGTGGGCATGACGTGCATAAAATAAATGATGATATTCTGTACCAAACAGATATTATTTCTTCAGTCTGTAGAGCAGGGGTGCCCAACCTTTTTTGAACCGAGCGCTACTTTTAAAGTTGCCAGTCTGCCGAGATCTACCAGTCAAAAAAGAGAGGCGTAGCCATTACTGACAGCCTACTACCGGGTAAATACACACTTCTACTTGTATAAAACTGACCTTTGTACGA